CCCAGCAAGATGACACAAAAGTGTGTTCCAGGTAGCAGATTCATCCCTTTGAAGCCTTCACTCCGGAGGGTTAAACCCTTCAAACAAATTAGGGCATAGTGAGGAAAACAAGTTTACTCATAAGAGAAATTCCCATATCTGATTTGTGAATAAATCGAGTCAGTTCAGTTTACATACTCGCTTGAATGATTTGTTCACGAATTGGAATGATCCAGTTCTTCATCATCCAATTCAACGATCCTGTTTTACAAGCCCACTGGAATGGAAGAATACAAATTTTTTTAAAATCATATAGGCCTACCACCACTGTGAGTGTGTGATGCTGAGTAAATGATGAGAGAATTTTCATTTTTGGGTGGAGTATCTCTTTAACTCTTTCCCTGCCAAACATGGGATTTTCCGTGTTTTCACTGTTATACGCTAGGGGGCGCTATTACGCATCTCCTGAATGAGTCTAGAAAGTGCCGATCAAAAACACAGATCAGGAAGACGCCGAAACGAGCAATCTTATATGTATGCATATGCATATGAAAAATATTGCGATCATCAACACTACCGCATATGAAAACTGCCTAATGTTACAGAGTGAAATGTCAATCCAGGAAAGTGGTAAAGGCCTGTGCAAGCTTTGGGAGTACTGATGGAAGCCATCTAGCCTACTGCATCTTTGCTTTGATAATATTACTGAATAAGATCCAGATGTAGTATTTGATAAAAACACGATTTTCTCAGCTTTTTGTTCAAAATGTTGCTATTTTTATGAAACCTATGTGTTGATAAAAAAAAAAAAAACAATGCTTGAAGCTATAGAATAAAACCGATTTTTTTTTTTTTAAGTAGAGGGTCTGATCTTTATTTTGATGTATTGTATGTTCAGATATTCATACAGCAACATATTCTGGAGGCTATGAAATTTTAGTGAAAATCAGCAAAAACGCTGGCAGTGGCTGGCAACTTTTTTTCAAAAACGCTGGCGGGGAAAGATTTAATTCCGGTTTGTTCCTCGCACTATGACTGGAAGACTATATAGCTTCTAGTGCAAAATAAATATATCCATCTACAAAATAAACAATATTTTACCAGAGTAGCAAGAAACCTTTATCCTGATAATAGAGCAAATATGAGTAGTCTGATATACGGGTCCTTTTTCATTTGTGGTGGCAAGTGGTGTCCCTCTACTTTACAACAGTTGAAATAAACTTTAAAGGTAAGGCAAGGCAAGTTTATTTATATAGCATATTTCGTACACAATGGTAATTCAAAGTGCTTTACATAAAAGGAAGTAAAATAATCATAAAAAAATTATCACAACAATAAAACAAGGAATTTAAAAACGTTTAAAATGATTTAAAATTGATTTAAAATGAATTTAAAAGTTAGAAATAAAAATGATTGTACATAAAATACAGTGCAATTCGGACATAGCACAGTGCTCATTCAATAAATGCACAGCTAAACAGATGAGTTTTGAGTCGGCATTTAAGTCTGACTAATGTTTTAGCACATCTGATCTCTTCTGGATGCTGATTCCAACTGCGGGTGGCATAATAACTAAAAGCGGACTCCTCTTGGTTTGTGTGAACCCTTGGACTCGATCCTAATGATCTGAGTGGTCTGTTAGGTTTATAATCAGTGAACATATCTGCAATGTATTTAGGTCCTAGGCCATTGAGTGATTTATAAACGAGTACAAGTACTTTAAAATCAATCCTAAATATAACTGGAAGCCAGTGTAAGGACCTGAGGACTGGTGTGATATGCTCAGATTTTCTGGTTCTAGTCAGAATTCTGGCAGCAGCGTTCTGGATGAGCTGCAGCTGTCTAATGGTCTTCTTGTGAAGGCCGGTGAGGAGACCATTACAATAGTCCACCCTGCTGGTGATAAAGGCATGAACAAGTTTCTCCAAGTCTTGACTGGAAACAAAACATCTAATTCTTGCAATGTTTTTTTAGATGATAGTATGCTGATTTAGTTACTGCTTTGACATGACTACTGAAACTAAGGTCTGTCTCCAGAATCACACCAAGATTCCTGACTTGATTTTTAGTTGTTAGACCCCTAGAGTCAAGGTGTGCATTCAGCTTGAGAACTACATCTTTGTTTCCAAATGCAATGACTTCAGTTTTCTCCTTGTTTAAAAGAAGAAAGTTGTGGCACATCCAACTGTTTATTTCATCAATGTAATTAAATACCAATAAACCATAACATTTTTGTATTCTGTACTGTAAACACAATTTGTGTACTCTTAATAGTTACATTTTTGTTTTAAAATACATATTTAATTGTGTTTGAGAGATTGCATTTGTACCAAAATATGCATGATAACTTGCAGATCTGACATATTTTAATCAAAATTTTGATAAATACATACTTATATGTGCCCTGATCTTGAAATCATCATGATGGCAGCCTCCATTTTAGAAAAGTCTGGATTTAGGCTGATGTGTTTGTGGTTTTACTGTCTTTCCTGGTAATACCACTAACTATGTGAAGTCTGTGGTGTTAATACTTCAAAATGTATCTGAAATTTCTTTCCTTCAGAGCCATTTAATCTTATAATTTAATGTTTTTAGAGTATAAAGTGTTTTAATCTTTTAGAATAAAGACTATAAATGTACCACAAACCATTTTTGCTGTCTTTTTTTATTTATATACTTTTTTCTTTTTTTTAAAGAAACTATTCTCCTTTGGCAGAAATAGGGGCCAAGATGAACAATTAAACATTTATTTTAAAGGGGTCATATGATGTTGCTAAAAAGAACATTATTTTGTGTATTTGGTGTAATGAAATGTGTTTATGCGGTTTAAGGTTAAAAAAACACATTATTTTCCACATACTGCACATTATTGTTTCTCCTCTATGCCCCGCCTTTCTGAAACGCAAACTCATTGGTCTGAAAAGCGAGGTGTGCTCTGATTGGCCAGCTATCCAATGTGTTGTGATTGGCCGAATACCTCAAGCGTGTGACGGAAATGTTACGCCCCTACCATACTGTGATGCCGTGTCCCAGCCGGAGCGACGAGACAAAAACATGAAAACCCATTATAAACGAGGCATTTGTTGCATCCAGTGGGGACATAATTACGGATTATAATAATTTATACTGTCTTTTTACGTGTTGCGTTGCATCGCATCGCGCCGTGTAAACATAAAACCATGTCTGCATTTGTGATCAGAGAAATGACAAACAACAAGCGCTACTCTACACTGCCCAAAAAACTTGCTTTAAATATATAAAATATAAAAACTCTTTAAATATGAAAACGCACTTACAGTCTTTGAGTCAGAACAGCCGGCATAGTCTACTCTACCAGGATCAGGAAACAGTCCTCCATAAAATGTGCTGCTTAACTTTTATAAAGAATATCTCTTTGGATTTGAGACTTTAGTCTTTGCAACTTTACAGATCTTCTTTATGCACCAAGAGCTTGTAACACTCCAAAGAGAAAGGAACAATTGAAATCGCATCATATGACCCCTTTAAGATAACTTAAATTTAAATGATCAATGAAACTGAATCCTTAAAGTCATTTATTTATTTATTAATTATTACCATAAATTATTACCTAAAGTTGCATATCCCTGCTCATTTTAGAACAAACCAAAATTTTACTTCAAATATCGGTAACACCATATAGACATAAGTGGCTGTGTCACCAGTGTTTGATTGAAATTATTTAAAAATCAAAATATTCTTAAGCTTCTATTTTAATGGATATAGCATATTAAACTATATTTTAATTTAAAATTCATTTTAAATGCACAGCAATACATTTTATTAGAAAAAAAGCAAACAAGAATTTTTACAAATTCTGCCTCTCATTTGCCACCCCAATTGAAGAATGACCTATAAATGACATATGAGCCGGTTCGTTTAAGTGACTCAAAACCATGCACAGCAATAAAGTAGGCTATATACCGAACTGACTCTTCTGAAACGTTTTTTTAATGAACCGTTCAAAGGGCTCGGTTTTATTTTCCAGTGTTCGTCAGAGTGGTTACTGAATCAACATCTGGCTCACTTGCATTCAAATAATGCATCTCATAATTGTGTACTGCAGTTATATCTGATCAAATGCACATTATTATTCTTTAGCTTTGGTTAAACAAATCAATTTTGTTTGGTTGGAACAGCAGCTATGCTAGGGTTACCATACGTGCCATTTTCCCAGGACGCGTCCTGGCCAGGATTTCTATATTGCCTAAAATATCTAGGTTTTGGCTTTGTTTGCGAGTGCAGACCGATAGGTGTATGATATTTTAGGCAATATAGAAATCCTGGTCCTGGGAAAATGGCACGTATGGTAACCCTAATCTATGCTAATTATGTTTCTCTGTTTTTGCCTAACTAGGATTTACACAAGCTTCAGTCTGGATCCAGAACACCTGAGAAGAGATGATGCCAACCCCTCAGAGGACCTCATGATGCCAACCCTGAAACAACATACAGAACTACCACATTTGCTATAAGTTTGATTGCATCATATAATAATTGCTGTTAATAGTGTTCATCGTCTGTTTGATTATGTCTTTAATTGATTTTTCCGTACATTTCTGCCATATGTACATTAACTGACCGTCACCACTGATAAGCTACCACTAAATATTGTAAAAACTTAATTTGCTGTAAAGTTGCTTTGCAACAATTTGTATCGTAAAAAGCACTATACAAATAAACTTGAATTGAATTGAACTTGCTGAACTGCAATAGCCTACGTCGAAATAAACCTGAAATCAGTGCAATTACTGACTGGTTGTTTAAATGACAGAGTGTAGTTAAAGACCGATTTTTAATAATGAATATTTAATGAAAACACAAACTGCTCCAGCAATAGTTAATCTGGCTCGTAAATTGTGCCGCTCCAGAGCGCAGGGTGGCGGCGGGTTAACGTACATTGAAAGTGAATGTTGACGGCAGCACTGTTTTGCACTGTGCACAGCGTGAAGTAGGCGGGAATTGTGCTCGCATTTCATTTTTTATTACATCATATGTTTTAGGAGTGTCCATATCATGCAAAACTGCGCGCAGGTTTGGTTTGTGTTCGTTTAAGTAACCGCTCGCCACGTTTCCTTCACTTCCGCGTCTGTTTATGCAGGTAAAAGGGATATTTTGAAGAGAATGGAAGATAAAAAGGTAAAAGTCACTACACTATCTTCTAGTGAACAACTCCAGTAACTAACGAAACCTAATAAAGTGCTCGATTTACGCCCATCCATGACTGTATCTCATCTGTTCATGCAGAATTGCACAGGTCCTCTTATGATTGCGCTGCAATATAATGACCTATTTGACTTGGACTCAATCTCAACGTCCACAGATACAGATGCACTACCCAAAGGCAGAGCATTCACCTTTATGAAGGTAGGTCAAGTTTTTAGGATGCATGGCCAATTTCAGAGGCAGTTTATGGTGGTTTATTATGATCTTAAAATGCTTGCTGTGAATGTAGGCTGTGCAAACAGTGAATGAGAGACTTGTGGAACAGAACAAGTCCGACTGTTTGCTTTTTGAAGTGATCCTCATTTCAAAGGAGTGTTCAGAAGAAATCAAAACGAAGATAGTTGAGAGTGTAAAGCATTATGGTAAGTTCACTTTGGTAAGGCCATTTTAATACAGCACTTGTATAGATACAGAATAGGGACTAAAATGTTTTTTTTTTCTCTCCAAGTGGTCAAAGAAGGTGCTCCTGATTTTTCTTTTAAATATTTAGTATTTCGATGTTTTTATTAAATGTTATATGAAAAAACATAAAAAAAAAAGATGCACTACCCAAAGGCAGAGCATTCACCTTTATGAAGGTAGGTCAAGTTTTTAGGATGCATGGCCAATTTCAGAGGCAGTTTATGGTGGTTTATTATGATCTTAAAATGCTTGCTGTGAATGTAGGCTGTGCAAACAGTGAATGAGAGACTTGTGGAACAGAACAAGTCCGACTGTTTGCTTTTTGAAGTGATCCTCATTTCAAAGGAGTGTTCAGAAGAAATCAAAACGAAGATAGTTGAGAGTGTAAAGCATTATGGTAAGTTCACTTTGGTAAGGCCATTTTAATACAGCACTTGTATAGATACAGAATAGGGACTAAAATGTTTTTTTTTCTCTCCAAGTGGTCAAAGAAGGTGCCCCTGATTTTTCTTTTAAATATTTAGTATTTCGATGTTTTTATTAAATGTTATATGAAAAAACATAAAAAAAATTTCATAAGTGCTTGTTTTGTATACTATTTTTATGCAATTCTTATTAAGCATGATATGCTTGTTGTTATGTGCTTATTTTTACATCATGTGCTTATTTTGCATTGGTTTTTTCTATCATTAGGTCTAGAAATTGGCAAATTTTTCTTTTGCAAAAAGGAAGAACTCATAAATACTCTTCAGTCAAACAAAGTTAAGCTGTTCCTCTCTACTGAAAGGGATGATGTCTATGAAGCTCTGCATACAGGTAGATCACTTCATGAACATTTAACGAGTTGTTTTAAAATATTTATTTTTAATGCATGATTTAAAAAAAAAAAAAACGAATATTTGCATTAATACACATTAGTTTATGTTTGCACATTTTGTTGAGTTTAGGAATTCCAGCTGCTTTGCTGTACGATCAAGCTGATGATCATGTCTTCAATCAGCTAACGGTCATTTTCTCTGGTGACGTTATCGGTTTCTCTGAGGATTCACTTGATGGTCTTTCAGAGTTTGGATTCAGTGAAACCCAAATAGAGACCATCAAAACAGCAAAGGTAAATTATGAAATATTTGTATTTACGCAACAATCTTTTTTTTTTTTTTTTGGTCTAGTACTGTTTTTTAAGCTTCATTAGTCATATTAACCTAGTCTTATGTTACCAGATCTGCATGAAGGAGTTTGCCGTTCTGATCGGTCAGATGAGAAGGAGGTTTGGGCAAGAGAACAGCCCTCTCTGTACCTGTGTCTTAACCTCGTGGGGCTCTAGAAATGTCTGTGCATCTGCCCTGAAAACTCTTCGGGAATGGGGTCTGGATGTGGACGAGGCGTTTTGTCTGGCTGGAGCTCCTTGCAGCCCCATACTGGCTGTAGTTAAACCCCACATACTGTGGGACGGTGGCCTTCTCAACATGAGTTAGCAGCACTAAGCTGGACACACGTGTGTAGCTTACCTTTCTTTTAATCAGGTGCCAATTCTATTCTCTTGCTGTTACACTTGACTTTGCATATTTTATTCAAAAGGTTTATGTTGTCAAATAAGAAGCATCCATATGGGGTGATTAGGGTTTAATAGTAATTCACAGTACTATATATAGATTTTTTTTAGGGGTTTGTATGAAGCTTTTCTATGTTTACATTTGTTTCAAATTATAGTACATGCTTAACTGTAGGAAAAAATTAAAAACAAGGTTAAATACCCCCAAAATCTACTGAAATTAAATGCAGCCATATTTAGAAGACACCAAATGAGCAAAGTCCGAGCATAAAATGTCATAATATATTTTATATAATCGAATTCACAGAGTCAGCATGCTTGCACCATTGTTAAAGCTGATCCTAACATGGCTTGGGTTGAATTTCAGAAAGGCACTACTTTCAGCTAAACAGCTGTGATCTCAACAAATTACATATAACAAATATATAATATTAAAGATATAGTTCACCCAATATGAAAATTCCTTTAAAACATTTTTTTTATATATATATATATACCTCCCAAGTCATAATGTTTCGAATATGAGTGAAAATTTTCATTTTGGGTGAGCTATTCCTTTAAGAGTAAAAGTACATTTTCAAGCAGTATCAGTTACATTTATGCATATTTCAACAATAATGACATTGGCAAAATTAAAGCGAAGAGTACAATATTTTGCAGTCATGCAGTAACATATTGCAACTAAAATAAGTGATTGTCTTTGGCTCAACAGTAAAACACTTATACAAACTGATAAATCAACCATAGTATGAAATGTAAAAAAAAAACAACTATTACGGATCAGATTGATCTCCACTAAAAGTAAACACAAATGTGAATGTTGCACATTCATACAAATGTGGCTAAGATAAGAATACAAAAATATATTTATGCTTCCAAAGTAATTCATCCTTCATCTACTAGTTTTTTTTTTATGTGACAAGGTTACAGATATCACTTTCTAATATTAGACACTACAATGATACTATACATATGAAAATCAACATACGTATGGTTTGTATTTGAAATGGTATGCAGCTCTTTGTGATCAAGATCAAGTATTATGATAGGAAACTGAAAGTTCTCCTTCATGCTGAGCAAGTTTTGCTTGAAGTAGCATCAAATAAAATTTCAGTTTCAAAACATACTGTATATATTTCAAAAATACTTCTACCAAGTGGTCCTTAGACATAGATGCCCTCAGGATTTAAACCTGAGGAGATCGGACTATGGAGTCCATGGATGCTGCCAACCACTGGATGAGATGAACCCGGTCGTTTCAATGAGCCAGTTAATGCAGCAAAGTCTGGGAAATGAAAGAAAACAATTTAAAGAACTTTGTCTAATATCTCATTGTGCTTACAGGGATTGTAAAGCTCATTTTAACTATATATGCTAGGAACAACTTAAGAATACAAACAAAATGAGTGTAGTCTTGACCAAATATTTCCATAAATCTTTGCTTAATTCCAATAACAGTTGCTTGTTTGGAATATCACACCACCATACAACTATTTCTGTGGTATATAGTATGGATACAATGCATGTAATGCCAATTTTTTTAATGCATACACTCTAAAAAATGCTGGGTTAAATATAACCCAGTGCTGGGTAAAATAGGGGCAAATCCAGCAATTGGGCTGTTTTGACTCAGCGGTTGGGTTACTACCCAGAAGGTTGGGTTAAACATTTAACCCAAGCGCTGGGTCAAAACAACCCAATTGCTGGATTTGTCCCTATTTTACCCAGCACTGGGTTGTATTTAACCCAGCATTTTTTAGAGTGTGGAATATGCAAATACAACAGAGCACAATGCTGTATCCACAATGCAATGCAGTTTACTTATTTCTAGTGTGACGAATGAGCTGGAAATAATATAATCTGTGATTTTGACTCATTATTTGATCAGATTCAGACTGCATTCAGTATGCTAATATTCAAACTAGCCTTTTTAATTAGCCAAGTAGCCAAGCCTTTGGATATTGTAAACTGTTTGGCCAATAACACGTACAATACCAACTCTAACCACAAGGTGGCACTTTGGATTAGTAATATAAACAATAACAGAAAAAGCACTTTGAAGTCAGTGACATCTACAAACAGAAGACTTGCAACGGCAATGATATTTTTCATCCAGGCTTGACGTCAATAAAGTCCGAAAAAAAGAACAGATTTTTGTACTCGACAGAGTAAATGACAGAGGCAAGACCGCTGAGTCAATCATTGCAACGATAATCTGTCACGGCACTGATGAAGCAGGACCACGCAAAAGCTTTTAACTCTGTCCTACATGGGCCTGCAGGTTTTTGCTAGATGTGTAAGTGAAAAGTTACTTGGCACTGCACTAAATTAAAAACAGATGTGGTCTGGCGCTGGTCATTAATGACACTTGTAAAATGGACTTATTACTCATTATGGTTGAGGTCTTATTTTCATTCACGCTAACAGAGTCCTAACAGAATCCACACTGTATGGAGCATATCCCTGGGGCTTTAGATATATTGTCAGTAAAAATAATACCTTTATAATCAGTTGTGTTGTTGGAGTCATCATCGCCAGGCTCCACGGGCAGAACAGTGACTTTGGTGCCTGTTTGTTGTATGAACTGCTGTAGGTTTACCTGCCTCAACTCTTTGGTAAGCTGCTCCAGTTCATACTGACTCTCCTGGTGGAAAGAGGGTGGAGAAGGTGCTAATGAAATGTTTGTATAGTATTGCAACTGGCACTCAGCCTGCAGCAATGCAGTAACAACTGGCTATAAACAGTAACAATGTTCCAATGTACTCCCACAAAATCAGCTCACGATTCTAAACAGATGTGCCATTTTTGCATTTACACCAATCACAAGAAGTGAGAAATGTTTTAGACCGAACTCTTCTGAAAAGAGCAGCTAAGACCAGCATGAATTTCTTTGTTAGTGAGTGCTGGTTTGGAACTTTAGCTAAGTGTACTTCCAACCAGCTATGTTGTTCACCATTTGCCATTTGTTGAGGCTAGTCAACCTGCATCAACATTTTGCTGGTTTAACTACTTAAGAAGCCTTGTGGAGGAAACCACAGAGTCAAGTTTTGGCTGTTTAGACTGGTCGAGTTAGTCCCTGCTGGTAGATGCAGATATTTTTGGATGGCTCTTAAAAAGCGTGAAATGGAAATGCTCCCTGCTGCCTTTGAAATCACAGCTAAGGCTAGTCGCTAATGAAGGAGAAGGACTAATGTTTGCACATTGATTCTTGTGGTGCCATCAGCTAATCACCACTGTCAACATGTCATGACGTCAAACTTAAGACCGAAACACTTTAAAAGGGGGCCTATTATGCTTTAACTTTTTCAACTTTAGTCTGTAATGTTGCTGTTTGAGCATAAAAAAGATCTGCAAAGTTACAAAGCGCAAAGTCCACTTCAAAAGGAGATATTTTATTTAACAAATCACTTTTCAAAAACTACAACGAACGACTCGTTTGGACTACAATGCATATTTTCCGGGATTTGTGATATCACAAATATCGACGAATGGGACGAGACCTGGTTGAGCTGCACTAGAGAAGGCAGCGAGTGTTATCACTATGTCGGAGACATGCTAGCTTTCCCAGGGCAGACAAACTTAGAGTGGTTACAATCATCCGGGTTTAAATCGTGCTCAAATTGATTTGATTTTGATGCAATATTTACACTGAAGCTCGCAGGTGGCTATGGTAAGGGGCATGACATTTCCCGACCAGGCGCCGAGTGCTGCCAATCACAGCACACACTGGCCCAGCTAACCAATCACAGCACATTTCGTATTTCAGAAGGCGGGCCTTCATTTGATACAGGAACTATTCGAGCCATTCATGCCAGACTGGGGAGAGAGGTGTTGTAATAATGTAAAATATGTGAAAAAAAATGTGTTTTTCGAACAACCTATTATGAGAGCCTGTTCTAGTACACCTTCAAAACAAAATCAAGACTTTGTAAAAGAGCATAATGGGACCCCTTTCAAATCTGAATAGATTTGAAACACTAGACATCATTCACTTGCCAACTCTGTAAATGATTACAGAAGAAAAAATGGACATCATACACTAAAAAAACTAAATAAAGATTGCACCGTACCAAATGATGACAAATGATAAGTATTTCAAAATCAGCTTTAAATATCAAAAGTGTTTGATATCCTTCAGCTTGATGGAATCATGGTCTGAAGCTATTGATCACTGCGAGAAATCAGTCAACTCCCAACTGGCCAAAATCTGAAGAATGGCTCGGTGACATTTGTCAACTTTCGGCAAATAGTGTCAACTCATCCAGACTGCAAATTAGAGCAAACTTTTTTGTAGTGTATGTTAGCCTTTACTTCTAGGTACTTCTGGGGGATCCTGCACCACTCAAACAACTGGTACTGAAATAAACAAACAGGCTGCGTTCCAATTAATTTTTTATGCCCTTCCCTCGCAAACTTCCCTCCGTCTTGTTTACTCGAATGTACGTCATTGATTACGTTGCATGGGTGCCCACTACAGGCGGAACCCTTACAATGGGCTGAACTGGAACTTTCTAAGCCCTTTTGTTTACATTTTTCCCCTTACAAATTTGTTTGGTACAGCATTCTATATGTACAGTATAAAGGTATGCTTGGCCTGTTATAAATATAAAAAACAATTTATATATTATAGAGTTGTTTGGGGTGGGGATAAGATCTGCAATGACGTCACAATCGCATTGCATTGTGGTCTATGGAGCGGCCTGAAGTGTGCATATGAAGCAGACTCGCTTCCTCTGTCAAAATCGAGGGGTCGAGGGTCTGTCCATATAAACTTCCCTCATCCACTTTACGAAGTGGAACGCACTTCAAAATGGCAGTGGGGATTCCCCCGAGGGGAATTGCTTAGGGAAGTTTGCCAGTGTGTGTCTAAAAGTGGAGTGAAACGCAGCTATAGTTAATAGTTTTATCCAGGTATTGTAGACTTCTTTGCAGCCAACACAACATATACTGGTGAAAAGCAGTGCTTATCTTTTTAATAATAATCTCTGGCACAAGACCAGTGATTACAACTGCAGTCTTCAATTTCAAAATTTCATATGTATTACTCAAGTTTTTGTTTGTGAAACGTGACATACCTGCAGTCTTTTGCATGACTCAGTCAGTGAGCGCTCCACTGCTCTTGAGCTGTTTTCAAGCTGGGCCGTGTGTTGAGCTTGAGCCTTGAGTTCTGCTTTCACTCTCTGAAGTCTAGCCTTCACTTCCCCCTCACTGGCCTGCTGGCTCTCTCTGATCTCCTTATGTTGCTTTTGAGCCTCTATGCCTGCCTCTACACCCTGCAGAGACATCAGCCGCTGTTCCAGATCCGCCGCACAGCCGCGCAACCGACTGCTCAACTCCTGGAGGTGCTCCTGCAGCTGCCTCTCGCTCTCCCGCTCGATCTCGAGCTCGGTTGCCCAGAATTCCTCTTCCTCAATCTCCACCTTGCTCCTTCGCACCTGCTTTTCCAATCTTGAAACTTCCTCTGTCATCTTCGCATACAGTTCGTCGTCCTCTAGTCCAACTCTTTTCTCAGTCAACATTCGAAGCTCTGCCTCGTACGCCTCTATCCTGCTGTCTAGAACCAAAAGAGTCTCCCTCTGCAGTCTCACCAGTTGGGTAATATCCTCCACGCGGTGGCCTGATAACCGAGGGGACATTGATGGTGAATTGTGAGTGCTTCTCACTAAAACCTCTCGTTGTTTGGCACTACCGTCACTGAGCCTGCCTCCACTAAGGATGTCCCTCAGACTGCGGGGCACACCGGTGAAGGTCAGAGATTTGCGCCGTGGCTCACGCCGACGGAGGGAACGGTCACCCGGAGCTCGGAGCTTGGCCATCAACGGAAGGCTCTGCCGATGCAAGCCACGCTCTGGGCCCCGAGGATTCAGACTTTCGGTTGAGGGGTACTCATTGAGAGATGGACCAGTACGGTGTAGGATAAACTGCACGTCACCGGCATACTGCCCCCAAGTGTTCAGAGAGGCCACCGGACTCT